CTCTCTCTCTCTCTCTCTCTCCCTCTCTCTTTCTCTCTCTCTCTCTCTCTCTCTCCCCCTCTTTCTTTCTCTCTCTCCCTCTCTCTCTTTCTCTCTCTCTCTCCCTCTCTCTTTCTCTCTCTTTCTCTCTCTCTCCCTTTCTCTCTCTTTCTCTCTCTCTCCGCCCCCTCTCTCTCTCTCCCTCTCTCTTTCTCTCTCTCTCCGTCCCACTCTCCTAGTTTGCAAGTCCTAATTTGACTCACAGTTTGAATGATCTGCAAACTAAAGTTTATCAGTTTGTCAGTCTGCCCGTCCGTCTTTTTTTCTCTGCCCTTGCCCATCCATCCTTTTTTTTCTCTTTCGTCTCTCCTTCTGTTTGAAAGCCTTGTCCTACAATAACCACCAGCCATGGGTGGCATTTGCAGATATAATTCGAAACTCAATGTACACTATCCTCAATCCAGCTATTTTCTATTTTTGTTCTTAAACAATTTTGTTTTATGTCTATCAATTTCTTCTCTATGTTAACCCCAATAGCAACCAAGACTACGCCTTGACTCGTCCTCTCATTGGCTAAAACCTAACCAATCATGGCGCACTCCGAAGACGAGTTTAAGGAGGTTGTGTCTGTCGAGCCCCCAATACACGACAAGCATGATGACATTTTTTCCGATCCGACATCTGCCACTGAAGAAAAAACGACGACTGGCCAAAACCTGTTTACTACACAAAAGTTATTTCAAACAGGATCAAAGCCAGCCTCATTCCTTGACCGAGCATCAATCACCTCCAAACTTCCGCACCCGTCCATTTTATCGTCACGGCTATCAAACACCAAGTCTATTGCCTCTTCGAACCGAGCTTCTTTCCTGCCCATACTAGAGGCACTAGGCAGTGACGCGGGTAAGGCTTTTCTATTTGTGAGGCACCGTGGTGAAATCAGGCGCTCCTCAAAATAACGAGATTGGGGAAACAAGCAAGCATTTTTTGGACCAGTTTGGCAATTTTGACCATTTATTTTTTTACTCAACCTCTTTTATAATATCCACCTAAAACACATTTCCAATTACATTTTAATGAAAAACGTTGACTAATGACTCAAAATGTCATTTTTCAGTTTTTAAAGACTCTTTAGCGCTTACTTTGAGTTACCAAACTTTGGCAGCAATTTTCTCGCTTATTTCACCACTGAAACCAGGAGACTTTATCTCATTCAATTGCAAATATTTTCACTTCTATTCAAGACAAATGGATAAATTTCCCAATGAAAGCAAGGAAATGAACAAGCTTTAAGCAGATACTAATAACCCAACGTGCCCAAAAATTGACGAACGGCTGATTCCACCACGTCGTGACACATTTGTCGACGTTTTGTGTCGTCGGTGGCCTTATGGTTAGGCTGCCGGACTCGCAATCATGAGGTTATGGGTTCGGGGGTTTCGAGCCCGCAGGCCCGACGTGGTGTCCTTGGAAAGGCACTTTACTCGAATTTTCCTCACTTAACCCAGCTGGGAATGGGTGCCCAGCCATAGACAGGGAAACATCTTAAGATAAGATAAAATAAGAAAAGATAGTACTTTATCATCCCAACGGGAAATTTTCCTTGGCTGTACAGGACCGTAAAAACACATGCAGGTATACATTAAAAAAATTTAAATCATATATATTACTTTAATTAAAATTCAATATGAAAGGAGAAGTAAAGCTGACAAAATGTACATTTGCATCAAATGCATCATTCAACCACATGCAGGAATTTAAATACTAGACCTTTGGAATTATATACAGCAGATACATACTCTAAGAGCAACACACATCAATGCTCATTCTGACAAAAGCCTTACGCTAGATGGTAAAAAACTTCTTTTATATCTTTCTTTCTTTGTTTTTGGAGGTACATATCTGCCGCTGCGTGATCTTACAATCTTGCCAGTATGTTTGTGTTCTAGAGAATATAAGTAGCCGCTTGCACTGGATGCTTCTCAGGAAGTTGAGATTGTTTCATAATGCTCTCAGGTCTGCTGCGGTAATAGTATAGATTGTGAAGCGCATAGAGCTTGCTGTTGAACGGGGATTTGCGCTATCCAATATATATGCTATCTGTTATCTATTATCATTACTTGGGAAAGGCACTTTACACAAATTTACTTCACTTCACCCAGGTGTAGACAGGGAAAGGTCTTGTTCGTTTTTCAGTGTTTGAGCCCTTTGATCAGCTGCTTGCACTGTATGCTTCTCGGGAACCCGAGAAAGTTCCTGGGTATTCTACGCTTTTAACTTTTCATCTCCTGTGACTTTGAATAAACCTTCTGTGTGTAATGTGTGTAATATATATATATA